TATTGATGTCGGTGTGACTACATTGCTTTATTGAATAAAAGAAATGGACAACATAGATAACATCGAAAGCAGTTTGTCTTCAATGGAAGTGAGGGAGGCCTGTCGCCTGCTAGGAGCCCAGCTGGTGAGCGAAGGGCTTCATTGATAGTATCTCCGAAGGTGGTGTGCATTCCATTGTCTTGGAATTTCCTTTCCTTCTAGAGTGTCTAGGGTGTAACTTCCTCTGCCCCCAGGTCGGCTGATCACGTAGGGGCTTTCCCAGTTGGGCTTCATCTTCTTTGACCCTTGCCTTGGTGTCGTGATGAAACTCTTTCTGAGCACAAGGTCCCCAGGTCGAAACTGTCTGATCTTGGCCTTCTTATTGTAGTAGGACGTCAGCTGCTGCTGGTAGGCTGCCACTCGGACAATGGCTTTTTCTCGTTCTTCCTCAAGCAGATCAAGGTTGACTTTCATCTGCTTGCAGTTTTGGTCAAGATTGCCCACCTCAACGCTCATGGAAGGGACGGTGATGTGTGGGGGGGATGATTGCTTCTGTCCCATAGGCTAGAGAAAATGGTGTCTCGCCGGTTGATCTCCTTTTGGTTGTGCGATAAGCCCACAGGACTCCTGGTAGATCGTCAACCCATTTTCCTTCTGCGCCTTCCAGTCTTTTCTTCAGGCAGTCCAGCACGATCTTGTTGGATGCCTCTGCTTGGCCATTGCCTTGCGGGTATCTGGGAGTTGACAGGTGCTGTTTAATGCCATACTTCGCAAAGAATGCGGTGATCTGCCTGCCTACGAACTACGTACCATTATCGGTGACTATCGACTGCGGGCATCCGAACCGGCAGATGATGTTTTTCCAGATAAATCATTCGACATCAACTTCCTTGGTAGAGGATAAAGCCTCAGCCTCGATCCATTTGGTGAAGTAATCCGTGGCGACGATCATCATCTCCTTGTTGGCAGGTACTGTCGGCATAGGTCCCACCAAGTCGATGGCCCATTGCATGAAAAGCCATGGACTGTTCTGCGGATGGTATTCCTCAGCTGGCAAGCCAGGGATCGGCTTATATCGTTGGCACCAATCACATCTTTGAGCATACTCCGTGGAGTCTTGGCGCATGGTAGGCCAGAAGTAGCCTATGCTGAGAGCCTTCTGGGCAAGCGATCTGCCCCC